CAGGAGGCATCTCGTACCTGATCTGGACTTCTTCCAGACTTTTTGAAAGAATGGAATTTCCTCATTCTTTGCAAGACAATGGGATGCCATGGTAAGCTACAGGATGCCTCTTGCCTGGAGGTGTGCAATATCCTAGGCCTAGCTTGGGAGGAAAGGAGGGGAAAGGACAGTGGGATAATCTCCCATGCTAGTCTGGAATGTCAATATGCAAAGGGATTCTTTGGAAAAAAGAAAAATCAAATTATGCTATAACAGATTTAGCAGCATTTCCAAAATTTCACTTTCTTTATACTTTTTTTTAGAGCTATGTAAATTAAAGCACAGGGAGCAGAAGATCAGGCAATGCTCTGCTCCACTTTAAATACAGGATGCCAAGCTAATGAGGCCAGTTGGGCTGATTAACTGCTGGATATAAATAAGCTTTACAGGTGGATTGATTGAATCACAGAAGCCAAAGCCCTTGGTTTGCAAGACCTGACCAGTTGATGACTGCAAATCTTGGAGATGTCTCATTCATAAGGCTGGCATAAGTGAAACTTGACTTGATGGTAAATAACAACAACAATAAACCAGCTCATTGCAGGCCATTATCTGCCTTCAGGACAACAGCTCCCAGACTTCCATGCAACCCTATCTGACATCTTTGGCATCCTGGTTCTCTAATTTTTCAACACACATCTAAGCTCCTTCCCTTCCCTTCCCTTCCCTTCCCTTCCCTTCCCTTCCCTTCCCTTCCCTTTAATGGTCCTTAACAACACATGGCAAAGAAACCCAGAGAGATTCCCAATTTGAGAGTTGTCCTCATCTGTGATCCTTGTTGTAAAGAACATTAAAAAGAAAAGTAAAGAAATCAAATTATGCTATGGCATTTCAAAACCCCCAGTTTCTTTATATTGGTGGAGATAATGTGACTTTTCTTTACAATGTAACTATCTAGCATCTGTCACATTGCATCACTTTAAATATTTAGATGGCACATCCTTTGGGAGAAAACTCCCCAAGAGAAGAAGATTTCCCTGGGTGCTTTTTGCTCAGAATGGCAACTTTCCAAAGGGCCGGGACACGAGCTGACTTCTATTTTGGACTGTAGACTTAAAGATAGGACTGACCTATTAAGTCATCATGGAGGTACCCTGCCCTTCAGTGGCATGCTGTTTCAGCATTCCAAGGACCATAACATGAACAGATGGAAGGGGCACTGGAAGAAACTGCAAGGAGGCAACTGTGGCATTTGGCAGGGAAAAGGCTCTGGTTTTCCTCCAAGAATCCCTATGAATGGGTTTAGCTTATTTGCAGACCTCATTGCACAATAGCACCATGCCTGCACAGGGCTTACAACAAGGGGGGGGGACATGCAGCCTTCCAGCTCTTCTTGAAGTGCAAGGCCTACCAGACATATTTAGTATATCCAGTGGTCAGGCATGTTGGAAGTGGGAGTCCAACAATATCCAGATTTTGTTGAACTGCCACTGTCCGCACTCCTCACCATTGGCCATGCTTGCTAGGAAGAGTCATACAATTCTCAACTCTGAGAAGACTGCAGAGTTTGTGTAGAGAGTCACAAAATTCCCATCCCTAGGATGTTGTTGCAGAGTCACTCCAGAGAGTTGCCCAGTTCCCAACCTTGGACTGTATGAAGCAGTCTGCTTTGTCCAGATTTGTCAGGTTTTCTACAGAGCAATACAGGACATTTTAGGGATGCTCGTATAAGGTTGCCTCAAGTCCCATGAGAGGAGGGCCTCTTGCAAGATCTAAGAGATGCCACAAGGTTTCAAATCATGGTAGATCCCCAAATCCATACAAATCTCATGAAGATAGGCCAGCCATTGTGTGATGAGAACTTCATGTTGCTGCTCAGCATCTGCCTGGACAGATTGAGAAGAGAATGACATGGTGTTATGTATGACTCAAATATGGAACCTAGCTTTAGGACAATTCCCAACCATGGTCTGTATGGAGTGATCTGCTCTGCTTTATCCAGGGTTGCCAGGTTTTCTACAGAGCAATACAGGATATGTCAGGGAGGCATATATAAAGCTACCTCAAGTCTCATGAGAGGAGGGCCTCATGCAAGATGTAAGGGTTTCACAATTTTTTAAATTTCAGTTGATCCCCCAAACCTATACAAATCTCATGGTGCAAGACAGCCACTGCACAATGAAAACTTATACCCTTACACATCATGATCCAACAACTGTGCCTATGTCCCTGTCTGCCCCTTGGCACTCCTACACCATTGCTAGCTATGGGTGTTAGCCTTCCATCTCCATATGATTGTAGTTTGCAGTCACAGTTCAGGCAAGTCCCAAGAATGTTCTGTTTGCCTTTGATGTTTATAGGGACTTGGGAAAAACTACTGGTTTAGGAACACTGTCTTCTAAGCAAATCTCCCTCCTGAAAAAAAAAATCCTGCAGATGTGCCTTTATCATTCACCTTCATGCTTTTGTTGGCAATAGCTGAAACACTGCCTGCTTTGTTACATCTTCTAAAAAGAGAGAGAGAAAGAAAAAGGGACTTCTGAATGCTCTTTCTAATTTCCCAATTAAACAATTACAGTAGCCAGCATTCCTCTCCCCTCCGTTCTGCAACATATGATCCTGTTAAAGGCTTGGATTTCTTTTTTTTTTTAAAAAAAGGTCTGTATCAGCCTGCCTAAATCCTTTAACAGCATGATTAATTCTAATCTGTTGTGATTTTGTTACTTAATTTATGTCTGCTGTGTGACTCACTCTTTTAGGAATGCCTCAGAAGCTCCATGTACCCCATGCAAATGACAAAATATGATGCAAAGTCTCTCTCTCTCTGTGTATGTGGCTTTTTTTTTTTTTAAATTGAGGTTTGCATAGCTGAGCTGAAAGCCAGTGTGGTGTGATGGTTTGAGCATTGGACTACGACTTAGGAGATCAGAGTTCGATTCCCTGATCAAGCATAAGAACCCACCGGGTGACCTTGGGCAAGTCACATGCTCTCGTTCTCAAGGGAAGGCAATGACAATGCTCCTCAGAACAAATCTTTCCAAGAAAACCCCATGATAGGTTCACCTTAAGTCTGAAATGACTTGAAGCACTGAACAACTCCCAGAGTCCTTGGCCAACACAATGACTTGTAGGCACATAACAACAACAACAACAACAACATGGCATTCTCTCAGCCCTGCTGCACGTGATATTTTATTGCCACCAGTGCTCTCAACTCAAGATCTCCAGTAGCCCCAAGGATGTTTTGGTGGCCCTCTGTACCGCCGTACCTCCAAAATCTCCAAACTGATTATTTTCTGGCAACAAAGACAAAAACCAAGAGTGAATTCCCGCTCCAGGTAGCTTGCAGGTCCAACAATTTACCTTTGAAATAGATTGTAAGGTTTCTTTGCATTCTTCAACATTTAAAAAATGCCAGTTTTGAGAACCAGAAGTTGACTTTTCTGGCCACTTTGAGCTGGTTGTCCATGCAGCCCACAGAAGGTCCTGGAACATACCAGTGGCTTCAAGAACTGTCTGAATTGCCAGTCTCTGGTGTAGAAAATTCAACTATGGAGAAAAGAAGGATCCTTTAAAAAAATCTTTGGATGGCTTGTAGCAAACTTGAAAAATTGTAAAACAACAATCAGCAAACACATTTTTCCAGTACTGAGAAGAATCCTGGAATGACAAGAATCTTCACAGTTTGGGACTTATTCAGTACAAAATTCACACATGGTTGTTTTGTCCACAGAGAATATTTCTGTGCATCAATATTATTGCCTGCACAAAAATGTTATTTCCTGCATTAAAAAAATGCTGTAATTGGGTTCTTAATCTCTACAAAATGATTTGCATAGAAAACTGAACTTTCTGCACACACAATAGTTTCTCTTTTTTTGGCACAGATTTTTCCTGTGCATGGAAAACAACTGTATGCAAATTTTGCAATCTGACCTTATGCTTTGAAAACTGTGATTTTTCAAGAATTTCTCAAAGTGGGAAGCACTTTCCTAAATTACTCATTGTGTATTTCAAGAAAAAAAATATAGTGAAGAATTACATCCGTAGTGGCCATCTAACATCTATTTAAAAACCTTCTATGTCAAAGAATCTGCCATCTTCCCAGGGTGTTTATTCCACTCAGATAGCTCTTAACACCAAGACATTCTTAACATTTATCTGGAATCACCTTCCTTGTAATTTGAATCCATTGGTTCATGTCCTAGTTTCTTCAGCAGCAGAAAACAAGCTTGCTCCATCTTCTACATGGCACCCCTTCAGGTAGTTTTCAAAGAAATAGCTGTGCTAATCTCTTGGAGCATAAAAAGGAGGAAGAGAGGTGTACCAGCACCTTTAAGACTAACTAGTTTTTATTTTTGCATTGAAATTTTATTCAAATGAATTTTCTGTGAAAAGATCCCAACATGTGAAGCCCCCCAACCCCCCCCAAACAAACTGAAATTCACAGAAACACCTGTAAAGTTTGGAAATGTTTTGCTCTTGTGTAGGAGGATGAAATAAACCAAGATTTATATTCCTAATCTTCTACTATGAATCATATACAATTCAGTCATTTTTAAGTGTGGTGTTTGTGGAGGAAAGTTTACACTAGTTGGGGAATTCATAGACTTGTTGCTTAAGTAAAGTAATCTTTCCCAAGCTCTGAGTAAATCTTCTCGCATCGTCCAAGTTTCTAGAATGAGGAATATGGATTCTCCCACACTGCACTTTTTAAAGCGGAGGATGACAACCAAACACATGGATTCTGTAACAGGATGGCTCATTTTGATGGATCCCCTTTCCAGGTTGGTCTTGCATTTCCAAATCTTGGGCTCCTGTCCCTCACTATGCCTTTTTACCCTTTAGATTCTTCTCTGGATCTACTTGAGGCTGAAGGTGACCATTATTAAATTGGGCAAGTGGTTGTACTGATCAGGCGGTTCAATGTGGTAAAGCATGATCAAGTCCCCCCAATAAATTCTTAACTGGAAACATTCAGACCGAGTTGTAGAAAATAATACTTGTACAGATTGATTAGAGCCAGTGTGGTGTACTGGTTTGGGCATGGGACTATGACTCTGGAGATCAGGGTTCGAATCCCAGCTTGGCCATGTGAACCCACTGAGTGACATTGGGCAAGTCACATTCTCTCAGCCTTGGAGGATGACAATGGCAAACCCCCTCTGAAGAAACTTCCAAGAAAACCCCATGACAGATTTGTTTTAGGGTCGCCATAAGTTGGAAATGACTTGAAGGTACACAACAACAACAGACAGATTAATTATGTAATAAATAAGTTAAACATAAACTTCTTTTACTCTTTCCACACTCTCAGCTCCCATCAAATCAAAACCCTATTCAGATCTCATCAGTTCCTCTTTTCCTAACAAATCTTTCAAGATTGACTCCTTTCCTATCTACCTCTGTTTCCACCTCTATTTCTACCTAGTCATAATTCTATTTCTATTGACTTATTAAACAGATCAACCTCTATTTTATATTTTCCCCCCATAAGTCCTCCCCTCACAGCATTCCTAAGTCTGTGATTGGCTGCCTCTTTTAGGCTTGCCCAAGTTCTTGCTTCACATGCAGGCATTGCCAAGAGGTTGGACTATATGACCTCAGCAACCCCCTCCAACTTGATGATTTCTTTTAAGGGGGCAAAAAAAATCTCATAGGTTTGTAGCTGTTCACCCAACGCAAGTTAAAGAAATGTTGGTTGGAATCCCATATCATCTACGTCAGGGGTAGGCAACCTTTCCCCTTTAAGGGCCGAGGGACTTCAGCTCCCAGAAGCCTCAGCCATGTTGGCCAATAGTCCTATGTTGGCCAATAGCTCCTGGGATTCTGGGAGCTGAAGTCCCTCGGCCCTTAAAGGGGAAAGGTTGCCTACCCCTGATCTACATAGACACATAGCCACTATACTTAACATAGCTACATAGTGTTTCCTTACCTGACCCCCTGCAATCCCCATCTACCATGCAGCAGATACTACAATTGATGGGGATCTGTTCCCCTTTCAATCTGGATGCAGGTGACTGATGTTTCCACCCCCTCCCAGGAATGATCCCTAGTGTAACAGCCAAATACAAGGTCTGTTGCAATATCTCTTGCACTGGAGATTGATCACAGGAGGGATGGGTGCAATCATCAGTCAGCTGCTTTCTGATCAATTGGGGAACAGATCCCCATTGATCACAGCAGCTGCTGCCCAGTAAATGGGGATGGGGGACGTTCAGTTTCCCTAAGTATCCCCTAAATTAGGGACTGTAAACTAGAATCTAAAACACCCTGCAAAAATAATCCAGTTTGATATCACTTTAACTGCTCTGGCTCAGGTTCTAGAGAATCCTGGGAATTGGAGTTTATTGTGGCACCAGAGCTTTCAGACAGAGAAGGCTAAATGTCTCACAAAACTACAGTTCCCAGGATTCCCTAGCATTGAGCCAGGATAGTTAAAGTGGTATCAAACTGGATTATTTCTACAGTGTGTTTTGGACCTAGGTTACACATTTGTAACTGCCTTTGTGAATTCTGGCCAAATAGATTACAGAATCTGTTGGATGACTCTGCCTTGCTCTTTCTATTTTGAGATGCAGACGGTCAGTGGTGTATATAAATAGGGTGCACTTGTCATGTCATTTCACTAAAAAGGGGACGTGAGAACCTCTGATGAAAGCTGCCGTACAGTAAAAGATGACCATGGTCAGGTGCTCCTTATCTTGGTACAAGTCTCTGGATCATGCAGCTATGGGTGGATTTGAAATTGGCTTGTTTCATTTCAGCATGGTATGGAACAGAGATGAAGCAAATCCTTGAAAATATTCTTCTTTATAGGCATAAACAAGGTTGGATTTTAACTGTGTGCGGATTCACAAAGCCCCAATGCTTGTACGTGAAGGATTCTGTCAAAGCTCCAGGAATCCTCTGAGACTGCTGATTATGGTTGGAAAGGAACCAAGCCATTTTCCTCCTCCAACCAAATTACCAGCAACTGCTAATTAATTTCAGGCAATCCCACAAAACATGAGAGAAAGGACCCCTCTAATTCTTCCAATGGACAGATGGACAGACTGCTTCCAAAGACTGAATTGACACTCCTACAGGGAAAGTGTTATACTTACTCCTGGCCTTGGGAAACCATTTCAGTTTAATCATATAGTTAGCAATTGGTGCTTGGCCATGCTACCCAGAATGGTGAATTGGCACCTAGTATGCTGGATAAAGCTGAATGTCATTTCATGAGGTCAACAGGAGGCTTGAAGGCACACACGCACACACAACTGTATACTAGTAGAAAAAATTATAATACTTGGGAAAGTGGAAAAGAGAGGGACAACATGTGGATTGAGTCACTCAAGGAAGCCATATTTGATTTTTAAAATTTGGCATTATTCAATCTTGCCATAGTATTTCAGATTTCTGTTTATCCCCAAAGATGAACAGAAAGCTGACAGGAAGAGAATAAACTGATATGTCATGCGGTGTTGGAAGAGAGTTCTACAGATGTCCAAAAGGCAAAGGAATGGGGCTTTGTTGTTGTTTGTTGTTGTTAACTGCCCTCGAGTCCATCTCAACTCATGGCAGATTATGGATGAGGCATCTCCAAGAAGACCCTCTGTCCTCCCCTGCTCTGCTTAATTCCTGCAAGCCCTTAAAACCCATGGCCTCCTTCATAGAGTTCATCCATCTGGCATGTGGCCTTCCTCTCTTCTTACTTCCCTCCACCTTTCCCAGCATTATTGTCTTTTCCAAAGAGTCCTCTCTTCTCATGATGTGTCCAAAGTACGACAGTTTGGTCATCTTGGCTTCTTCCAGGGAGGTTTCCAGCTTGATCTGCTCTAGGACCCACTTCTTTGCCCTTTTGGCTCTCCATGGGCTCCTCAGCACTCTTCTCCAGCCCCACATTCTGTCAAATATGAGTTGATTTTCTTCCCATCATCTTTCTTAACTGTCTAGATCTCACATTTATCCATGATAATAGGAATATGATGGCTTGTATGATTCTAATGTTTGTTCTGAGTTGTATATCTTTGCATTTTAGAATCTTTTCTAGTTCTTTCAGTCATCCTCCCCATTCTTAGTCTTCTTCTGATTTCTTGACTGCAGTTCCCATTTGCATGGGGCTTAGAGCAATTCAAACCTGAACTCTCCCTAGAAGTAACTGAGGCTGTTATACTTTGGTCATATCATGAGATGACATGCCTCACCAGAAAAGTCAATAATGCTAGGTAAAGTGGAAGGCAGTAGGAAAAGAAGAAAGACCACATTACTGGTGGATAGACTCAGTCAAGGAAGCAACAGCAGTGATGAATTTTCCCATTACTCCTCCAATTTCTAGCATTGCAGAAAGTGAAAATTGTTCACACCTAGAACTTTTACAGTTGTTGTGTTCATATTCCCCTGGTAACTGTGCCTGCCCTTTTTTTTTTGGCTGGCTAAACTCTATTTATAAATGCTCACATGAAGTTTTAAGTTACTGCAATGCTAGAAATTTGGGGAGTGAGGAAAATTACATGGGGGGGGGGAAGAACATTCTTATTGCAGGGGCAATATCCCCCCCCCCATCTATACTTCTGGTCTCTAATCCTCTGCATTGTGTAATTCAGTTCTTGACTGTAATGCAAAAATAATAACTGCTATCCTGTGTGCCTCAGCATAGTTTAAAAGTTCAGGTGCAGATCTATGCTAGTCTGAGCCATATACCACCCTTTGGACTTAGAGTTTATCGCATTGGCTTTGCTCCCACGATAGATGGAGATGTAACTTTAAGAAGGTGAATTTTATTGCATTTCCCCATCGCTGCGGGGTATGCAACTGGTATGCAAGCCAGGCTTCTCCAGGCTCCTCCTGCATCTTTTCAAGAATGGGATTTTCCTGTTCTTGAAAAGATGCAGCAGAAGCCTGGCTTGCATATGGGCTGTGTACTCCCTGGTGATGGGGAAATGTGATAAAATCTGCCTTCTTAAAGTTACATCTCGTGTCTATCACAGGAGAAAAGCCAATGTGATAAACTCCAGCCTCTGGATCCCTTCTCCTCTGCATAACCAGTCTACGCTTCATGGGAAGTGGGTAGGATTGGAAAAATAGCTGGCTGTGTCCTTGTAGCTGGATGCAGAATTATTATGTCATCCACTGAGACAAGGGTTTTTTTAAGCTAAAAATTCATCTTTACATTTTGCTAGTCTCTTTACAGCCCATTCCAGGACAAAAGCAGAGTATTAAACTGAATAAATAAATTAAATCGTAAATAAAAATAATGAATGAATGAATCCACTGGGCATCCTCTGGAGGTCTCAGTGTTGCTGTAATCATTTTGCATCTGGCTACAGGGACATAGCCAGATGTTTCTTTGAATCCATCTGCTCCCCAAAAGGCATGGAATAGTTGGGTTTCAGAGGCTATATGGTAAGTTGGGCTGAGGTGGGGTGCTTTCAGCACTCCAGGGGGAGGAAGGAAATACTGTATTAACCTCCGCTGCAACCACAAAAGGACATAGGAAATAATCCAGTTTGACACCACTTTAACTGCCATGGCTCAATGCTATGGAATCCTGGGAACTATACTTTTCTGAGACATTTGTGAGCCTTCAAGTCATGTCAAGTCGAAGGCTTTCACAGCCTGTATCCATAGTTTTTTTTTTTTTTTGTGGGTTTTTCAGGC